CAGCAATACACTATTGAAAAAAAATTACCAACAATACATTTTTGAAAAAAAAATATTAGCAATCCATTTTTGAAGAAAAAATATTACCAGAAATCTATTTTTGAAGAAACAACTTTACCAAAAATATATTTTTGAAGGAAAAATAATTTACCAACAATACATTTTTGAAGGAAAAAAATGGAAAACTTCAATACATTTTTGACAAAAAAATAACAGCAATACATTTTTGAGAAAAATATTACGTGCAATATATTTTTGAAAAACTATTACCAGCAATGAATTTTTGAAAAAAAAATACCAGCAGTAGAATTTTGAAAAACAAAAAAAAATTACTGGCAATACATTTTTAGAAAAAATATTACCAGAAATACATTTTTGAAAAAGAATATTACCAACTATATATTTTGGAAAAATATATTACCAGCAGTAAAAATCTTGTCGGCATTACATAACCCATTAAGGTTCATATACCTATTGGCTATCGCCCGGTTCGCTGACTTTCCCGGTCTTTTAAAAAGCAATAGATGTTTACCCTTGTTCCATGTTGAGAATTGGACTTCCGGTTCCTTCTAAAGCCTACTACAACTATATATTTCTAACATGTCCGCGGGAAGTCTACATGATATATAAAATATTGCTCAGCATTCTTTTTCATATTATTAGACATTTCTTTGTTTTTTATGAGAGAACTTACTGTATTTTTTAACACATCGGTTAAATTTTTCATGGATTCCTTCGCTAGAGAACATCACCTTCGTCTTTCAGTGAAACATTTTCTCGTCACTTGTCACAACCGACGCCATTAATGTCATAATATAGCAACGACATAAGTAGAAGCTTATGAAGCTTTATTTGACTCCTTCTGTTTTAGTGCTGCAAAACGTTTATTTTATTATAGTGGATGGTTACAAACCGGAGGGGAGATGGGCGGTGTTTATTTTATTACCACATTTGTTTTTATAAGAGAACTTGTTGGGATCCGTCGAATTAGCTTATTATTGAGAATGGGTTTCCAAACATTTAAGGGCAACAACGGAAGAAGCAGAAACAGAACGTTAGTTGAAATACCATTTATATATTCTCTTCAGAAATATACAGATATTAGACAAAATAATTGGAACAGTTATAAAATCCACTCCTATATTTCAAAGATCTATTATATTAAGAACTTTAACTAACACTTCGTAATTGCAGGTTATATCTATTGTAAATACGTTTATTTATCTAATTTACTATCTTTGTCTTATTTATTTTTACAATTTAGTAAAATTCAAGCTAAATGCGTGACCTCTCCGAGTTCTAAAAAGAGAAAATTGTTGGAGCTCGCATGGCAGGAGCTTCGTTGCTGAACTGTTTGGTTTTTCAAGAGCTACCATATCAAGAACACTAACGCAATTCGAGAAACAGGGCAAAACCTCTAGCAACCGTAGCAATTCAGGCCGGACTTGCAAACTTACTGACAGGGACTGACGTGCATTGAAACGCAATTTGGCCAGAAATTCATCGGACAAATGCGGCCAAAGTGACTGCTGAGTTGAATAACCATTGAATAGTTCAGTTTCTTCTAAAACTGTTCACCGTGAGCTCCATAAGGCTGCATATCATGGAAGAGCCGCTGCGAGGAAACCTCTTCTCTCCACTCCCAACATTCAAAAGAGGTTGAAGTGGTACAGAGATCACAATGCCTGGTCTGCCGACCAATGGAAGCAAGTCATATTCTCAAACAAGTCAACTTTTTCTCTTTTCCCAACTTCAGGGCGGGTTTGTGTGTGGAGGCAGCCCAAAGAAGCTTACAACCCTGACTGCCTTCTTCCAACAGTGAAGCACGGAGGTGGATCAGTGATAGTTTGGGCCGCCATATCATGGAAATATCTCAGTCCAATAGTTGCCCTGCATAGTAGAATCAACAGCAAAGATTAGCTGAACATTTTGGGAGATCATGTTCATCCAATGGCTAAGACTTTATTTCCTGATGGTGAGTGCATCTTCCAAGACGATAATGCTCCAATACATACCGCTCGAGTGGTTAAGAATTGGTATGAAGAGCATGAAAGTGAGCTAGAACACATGGAGTGGCCTCCCCAATCTCAAGATATCAATATTATTGAACATTTGTGGTGCATTTTGGGGCAACAAGTTAGGAACCGCTATCCTCCAACGTCGTGTCGTAAAGAGCTGGAGAAGGTTTTAATGGAAGAATGACTGAAAATTCCTCTGGATGAAGTCAGGAAGCTGTATGATTCCATTCCTAGATGTATTAAAGCTGTCTGTGAGGCTAAAGGAGGACCAAGTCCATATTAAATAAATTTTCTTTGAATTTAACAAGTGTTACAATTATTTTGTCCAGCACCTGTACAATGACAATAAAATGTTCCATTTTCCTTGTAGTGAAATTTATTTTATCAAGCAATTAAGTATCCGCAGTGTAAATATCTTTTCAGCAGACACGGAAAGGAAATTACAAAATCTCCTACAGAAATTTCGAAGGAGAGCAAGAAGAAGGGACTAAGCACAAACTACAAGAAGAAAGAATGCATGGTCACCAATAAAAGGATGAACCCGAAATGCGATTTATAGATCGCAGGCACTAAATTCAATTAGGTGCTGAGGTTTAAATATCTGGGAAGTGTTTTGACGGAGGACAGTAAGAGCGACGCTGAGATCCGAAGACGTAATGGAATGGCCAAAGACGCATCCCAAAAGCTGGGAAGAGTATTACGAGACAGGAAGATTTGTTGCTAACAAAGAAGACAGTACCGGGTTACTACGTGACATCTGTCCTCATTTGCGGCAAGGATTTTTGGACGGTCTCCTCAAAGATAATGTAGAGACTCGAGGCAGTGGAGGTATGGTTCTACAGAAGGATGCTAGGGATATCATGCACTGAGCGTTTGAGCAACGATGAGGTTTTGGAGAGGGTGCAAACAAGCTTATACTTAGCATCAAGAAGAGGCAGCTGAAATTTCTGGGACACATAATGAGAAAGAAGTGCCTGGAGAATCTGATACTCACAGGTCGAATAGAGGAAAAAGAGACAAGGTAAAACAACGGGACGAAACTTATTGAGACCTTCCAGAGATCGGGGGAAATGGAGAACCATGATCGCCTACGTCCTGAAGGGACACGGTACATAAAAAGAAAAGAAGTGCTATGAAAAATATGGGGACAGACTTACTTTATAATTGCCATCTTAATGTATTCATGAGTGCACAGAAAAAGGCTTAGTCCCTCCCATTGCTTGTATTTTTGTACGTGGATATGCATGTGTAGGTTAAACAAGTCTTTGAAATTGCTTTGAACCTCATGAAGTAGTATGCTTCTATTTTTATATCCTTAAGTGATATCGAAAAACTAATTTCACATAGATGTGTGAACTTTTTGAATATAAGGTTTTCATTAGATAGAAAATAATTTCACACCTGCTCGTCGTTCTGGGTATGACGATAAAATACATCCTGCAGCAAGTCCTCAGAACGAGAGGTTTTAAGGGGCATGGGAATTTTTTTTAATTGCGCTTGTTAACTAGATCCACCCTGAGCCTGGGTGGTAGCACCTGTTAGGGTCCTAGCTACGAGCAAATAGTGAACTGCAAAACAGGGGTCAAAACACTATGAAAGTATAAAAATAGATTTTTTATAGTAAAAACACCAGCAATACATTTTGATAAAAAAAATACCTGCAATATTTTTAAAAAATATACTAGCAGTAAACCATAATCCAGACTCTTGATAATTTTTTTCCCAAAATATGTCAATAAAATCTGATCTACAAACGGATTTCTTACAAAGAACACATTCTATTCATACGAATCCTAAAAATCTTGTCGGTATTAAATAACATATAGAGGTTGATATACCCTAAAACAAAATAAACCAAACCACACTGGCTTGCAATTTTTTTTTTTTTTTAGAATTTGCAGAAGGGGTAGATGGATTTATTTTTCTTATTATCTCAGTCACTTATGTGCCATACGTGATACACACTTTGGCGATCATGTATCTTTCGATCACTGACGAGGCAGATTTTTGTTCCTGCAGTTAGTTGCCATTTTTTTTCTGCAGTAGACCAGCTACCATCCAAGTCTGTACTGCTATTTACCCGTAACTGGAAGAAGAAGAAGAGCATTCATAACTTTCCTAAAGCTATTAGCACGTAAGTGAATGTAATGAATTTTGACTGGAATTCGAACTCGGCTCTCGGATTTCTTAATCCGAGCCACTATCCATTAATACTCTGTGCCTTATTATCCAAATAATAACAAAATAACACATAGTATGTCTACAACTAAGTCCTCAATTATTTTGGCAGTATTTTCCCTTGTAATTATCGTTTAGCAAACAAATTTCCAGAATGGATCTTATTACTTGAATAGGACTTAATTCCTATAAAACTTTCCTATTTTTTAATACGTCGCTTAATTTTTTGGAAAGCATGCTAAGCTATTGAAGTTCACCTTCATAATTTCCGTGACACTTTGCTCCCCGCCTCTCACAACACAACCCAGACGTTACACTTTTCCAGACTCTTTAAGACGCTTACTATCTTTTTCTTGCTTTTCTGTCATTCCCTTTAATCCAACTGGCTACATTCAATTACATTCAAGTCCTTTGTTCTATCAACATGTTCATGAAGACGGTCTATTTAATATTTCTCTGGGTATGGAATAGAACGCGAGACGGAATCGCTTATTTCAAATCTTGAGGACGCTTGCGTTTTGAATTTTAAGGTGACGACCGGTTTTCTGCAAAGCTATAGTTGGATTTTGCTGTGACAACATGTTTGACGTCACGGAATTGGGTCTGAGGTCAATACATAAATACATACATTATACATACATATATATATATATATATATATATATATATATATATATATATATATATATATATATATATATATATATTATATATATGTGTGTGTGTGTGAGTACAAATAAAGAAAATAATTATATAGAAAATATAGCAAAATAGGCGAGGGGAATTTTAAAAATATAAATATAATTAATAGACAATTGGAAGCAAAAAGAAAAAGTGTGAAAGAAACGTTGAAAGAAAGAAAGAAAGAAAGAAAGAAAGAAAGAAAGAAAGAAAGAAAGAAAGAAGTAACACTTGAACAAAGAGAGAAAGATATACTGGAAAAAGAATGAAACACCGAAAGAGAGAAATATCACAGAAAAAAAGAATTAATCGACATTTCAAGAAAGAGAAAAAGAAATATTGGAAGGAAAAATAAACCGAACGAAAGAAAGAAAGAAAGTTAGAAACATTGAAAAGAAGGAAGGAAGGAAGGAAGGAAGGAAGGAAGGAAGGAAGGAAGGAAGGAAAATCACAGAAAAAATGAAAGAAAGTCTGGAGGAAAGAAAGAAACATTAGAAGAATGAAACAGAAAGAAAGAAAAAAACACTTGAAAAAGAAAAATACACATGAGAGTATAGACGTTTAGGAATGAGTTGAACAACGGTTAGTAAAGAAAGAAAAAAGTATCTTGACAATGGAAAAGAAGATAAAAGAAAAGAAAAGAAAGAAAGAACGAAAGAAAGATCACAGAAAATAAGTGAAACGCTTAAAGAAAGAAAGAAATATTGGAAGGAAGAACGAAATAGAAATAAAAAAAAAAAGTTGAAAAAAAGAGAAAGAAAAAAACACTGAAAGAAAGACACAAAGAAGGAAAGAAAGAAAAGAAAATAGAAAGAAAGAAAAAGGAAAAAAATGGATTAAATAAGAAATAAACGAAGAGTGGGAGGTAAATTGAAATGAAGAAAGAAGACTGAAGGAAAAAGAAAGAAAGTTTGATGAATGAGCGCTTGTAAGAAGACTAAGCGTAGGGAAAAAGAGGCGAAAGTAAGAAAAATAATGCTGCGACGAAGAAAGGGAAAAAAAAGAAAAAGAGATAAAGAAAGAAAAAAGAAAGAAAGAAAAAAGAAAGAAAGAAAAAATAAAGAAAGAATATTACGACAGAGAAAGAAAACTCAACCCAAGTAAGATAAAAAGAAAGAAAACTAAATTCGATGTGTGATATGTTTGACGTCATTGAAATTTTGTCTGACCTCAGTCAATATATAATGGATTCAAACATGCACAACCCATTTATATAATATATATATATATATATATATATATATATATATATATATATATATATATAAAAGACATATGAAATGTCGAATTAAATAAACTAAAGATAATTTAAGGTTTAATTTAAAGAAAGTTTGAAAAAACAATGCAAACGGAACGAGAGAAAAGTGTGAAAAAAGACAATGAAGAAATAAAGAGGCAAGAAAGGAAAGAAAGAAATAATGAAAGGGAGCGCAGAAGGTAAGGTAAATAGAAAGGACGACTTAAAGAAAGAAAGAAAAAGAAAGAAAGAAAGAAAGAAAGAAAGAAAGAAAGGTAACAGAAAAATGGAAGAAAGAAAGAAAGAAAGAAAGGTAACAGAAAAATGGAAGAAAGAAAGAAAGAAAGAAAGAAAGAAAGGTAACAGAAAAATGGAAGAAAGAAAGAAAGAAAGAAAGAAAGGTAACAGAAAAATGGAAGAAAGAAAGAAAGAAAGGTAACAGAAAAATGGAAGAAAGAAAGAAAGAAAGGTAACAGAAAAATGGAAGAAAGAAAGAAAGAAAGAAAGAAAGAAAGAAAGGTAACAGAAAAATGGAAGAAAGAAAGAAAGAAAGAAAGAAAGGTAACAGAAAAATGGAAGAAAGAAAGAAAGAAAGAAAGAAAGAAAGAAAGGTAACAGAAAATGGAAGAAAGAAAGAAAAGAAAGGTAACAGAAAAAATGGAAGAAAAAGAAAGAAAGAAAGAAAGAAAGAAAGGTAACATAGAAAAATGGAAGAAAGAAAGAAAAGAAAGAAAGAAAGAAAGGTAACAGAAAAATGGAAGAAAGAAAAAGAAAGAAAAGAAAGAAAGGTAACATAAAAAATGGAAGAAAGAAAGAAAGAAAGAAAGAAAGGTAACAGAAAAATGGAAGAAAGAAAGAAAGAAAGGTAACAGAAAAATGGAAGAAAGAAAGAAAGAAAGAAAGAAAGAAAGAAAGGTAACAGAAAAATGGAAGAAAGAAAGAAAGAAAGAAAGAAAGAAAGAAAGGTAACAGAAAAATGGAAGAAAGAAAGAAAGAAAGAAAGAAAGAAAGGTAACAGAAAAATGGAAGAAAGAAAGAAAGAAAGAAAGAAAGAAAGAAAGAAAGAAAGGTAACAGAAAAATGGAAGAAAAAAGAAAGAAAGAAAGATCACAGAAAAAAAGGAAGAAAACTAGAGGAAAGAAAGAAGTATTAGATAAATGAAACAGAAACAAAGCAAGAAAGAAATATTTGAAGAAAAAAATTTGTTGCGTACAGATGACAGGAGAGGCGTTTCCGAATGAGATGAACAACGGTTACTATAGAAAAAAAAAGAAAGAAAGAATTTATCTTGGCAATGGAAAAGTAAAGTAAAGAAAGAAAGAAAGAAAGAAAGAAAGAAAGAAAGAAAGAACACAACAAATAAAAGAAACACATAAAGAAAGAAATGCACATAGAAAGAAAGAACGAAACGAGAAGAATGAAAGAAAGAATAAAACAGAAAGAAAGAAGAAAAAGAAAGAACGAAAGAGAAAGAAAGAATAAAAGAAAGAAAGAAACACTGACAGAAAGAAATAAATAAACAGGGGAAGAAAGAAAGAAAGAAAAGTTGAAAAAAAAAAAGAAAGAAAGGAAGAACGAATGAATGAAAGAAAGAAAAAAGTTGCATTATAAAAATCGACCAGAGAAATTAATAAAGAAAAAAATCTTCATACCAAAATCGGTTTATCACTTAAGCAAAAATGAAACAAAGATAGAAAGAAGTCAAATTTTGGTGCCGATAAAAACAAAAAAGATATTAATAGATAAAAAGGCAAACTAGTTGAGTGCAAGGAGACATTGTTAGCATGGAGGTGAACTTTGTGAAAATCATCCTGTCTACTCGAGAATGAAACATAATTGCTTACGTTTGATCTAGAACAGATGGTTAACAAAAAATATTTTTGAGATTTAGAATAATTTGACAAAGAAAGAGAGAAAAAAGAAAGATGTTTATTAGAAGGAAGAATAAAAGTTAGATAGAAGGTTTGGTTAGGTTTGTTTTATGGCATATCAACTTAAATGAGTTATTTAATGCCGACAAGATTTTTATTGCTGGTAATTTTTCTTTTCAAAACGTATTTCTGGTACAATTTTTTCCCAAAAATGTATATTGCTAGTAATATTTTTTTTCAAAATATATTCATGGTAATATGTGTTTCCTTAAAAAAATGCATTTCTGGTAATATTTTTTTCTTAAAAAATGTATTACTGGTAAAAATCTTTTTTATTCAAATATGTATAGCTAGTAATATTTTTTCTTTCAAAAATGTATTGCTGGTAATAATTTTTTTTTCAAAAATGTATTGCTGGTAATTTTTTTTATTCAAATATATATTGCTAGTAATATTTTTTCCTTCAGAATTGTATTGCTAGTAATATTTTTTCCTTCAAAAACGTATTGCTGGTAATAATTTTTTTCCAAAAATGTATTCCTGGTAACATTTTTTCTTCAAAAATGTATTGATGGTAATTTTTTATTCAGATATGTATTGCTGGTAATATTTTTTTTCTTCAAAAATGTATTGCTGGTAAAAACATTATTCAAATATGTATTGCTGGTAATATTTTTTCTTTCAAAATTGTATTGCTGGTAATATTTTTTTCCAAAAATATATTGCTGGTAATATTTTTTTTCTGCTGGTAAAAACATTATTCAAATATGCATTGCTGTTAATATTTTTTCCATCAAAAATGTATTACTGGTAATAATTTTTTCCAGAAATGTATTGCTGGTAATGAAGCCTATTTTTACACTTTCATAGTGATTTGACCCCAGTTTGAGGGTTAACTATTTGCCCATTGTTGGGAGCCTAACAGGTGCTACCACCGCTGGTCAAAGTGGGCCTGGGGACGCTAAGAGAAAAAGAAAGAAAGAAAAGTTATAATGAGTCATGAATAAACACAGAACAAAAGAAAGAAATATCTATAGAAAGAAGAATAAAGAGAAAAAGAAAATGAAAAGAGAACAAAGATATAAAGAAAAATACGATATAGAAATCACAGCAAGACAGGAAAGAAGAAAGAAAGAAGGAAAAAAAGAGAGAAATATCTGGTAAGCAAAAGAAAGACAGAAATATCTCTAAAAATAGATAAAAAGAAAATGAAGAGAGAAAGAAAAAAGAAAGAAAGAAAGATCACAGAATGAAAGCATCACAAATAAGACAGAAATATCTTTAAAATGAAGAATTTACACAAAAAGATAAAGAAAAATTAATGCAAGAAATTTTGCACTGATCATTACACGGGTTTCCTTACCTAAACTGGCTGCCACCCACGGCTAGAAAGTCCAGTCGCCACTGGCATTTTATCTATCGATGTAAAAAGAAGATGGGCACTGTTCTCTCTGGAAAGCATTAATCTTACTTATTATAAAACGCAAATTGTGTGTGTGTGTCTGTACGTTTATATATTGGATCGGATTTCCTACATTTTTCAACCGATTTCAACAAAACTTCACAGGACTGTGTAAAATTACCTTGCGGTGGTTCTGACAGCGTCCAAAATTGAAAAAAAAAAACAATTGTTTTTTCAGGAAATCAATTTGAAAACACGATAAAACACGATTCTGCCGCTAGAATATCGAGTTATGCTTGTTATAAAACCCAGGTTGTTTGTTTGGGTGTGTGTGTGTATGTGTGTGTGTGTGTGTTCGTTTATATATGGGATCACTTTTTTTTGGCAGGTAGTGTTTCTTATTGTCTTGCACACTTTTTTCTTTATTTTTACATTCAGAATGCTTTAAAAATTCCATTTACAAGACAATTGTTTATAATAAAATTCTATTCAATCGATAGACTCATAACGATTGAAAACAATGTTTTTCTTTGAGTTTGGGTTTGACCAATTCGTAAAAAAAAAAAACTAATTAAGACATGCATGTCCGTCAACCTTAAACAATAATCTTTGTCAATTTAATTTTTCAGTCTTTATGATGGTTGATCTATCTCTTACTGTTACACTCCCGGGCAACGCCGGGCTCTCCTGCTAGTATGAAATAAATATGAGGTGACTGTCATTCGAACTCAACCCTTTCAACCTACCGCGCCAATAACTAATTGCTTTCCACCACTAATTTTGCCCCTATCTCATTTCAGGAGACAATATATTTGCCATTTTAATCTTTGCTCTAGAATAAGGAATTTATGTAAATATTCCCAACGTTCTGATAATGAGTAGGCCTATGCTGATGGCATAGGTATTCATAGTTGAGCTAAGAATGTTCTTAAAACATAAACTCAGCATCCGCTACCAAATGTCCCAAGAACTAGGACTCAAGATAAACCTTTCCAAAAATGAAACTATGATCTGGAATTGAAATGAAAGCAGTTACAGGACATACTCTGAATGTATCATGACAAGATGTAGTTTCGCCCAATACCGCAAGTTGCCACTAAACCAAAACATTAACCTGAAAACACGAGTCATGTACTTAAATAACCCCGTCAGATCGTGATTGTCATATGGATCTCATGCATGGTGATAAAGCCATTCAAAAATATTTCAACTATCAGCTGTATACAACCGCTTTCTAATATCAATCGTTAAAAAAAGTCTTTGAGCGAGTGAAACACTAGGGTCTTGGCAAACATTGCGAATTGGCGCTGCTGAATCGCAGACAATTAAGATCGGGATCGCGTTTGAAGCCCAATATTTTCTCAAGGTACGCTGCCTCCTCGAAGGGACATCTGTTCATTGTGACTGTGTTGATGACGAGGTTAATGGCGATGTAGTCTATGTCGATGACATAGGTATTCATAGTTTGGTTAAAATTGATCTGGAAACATAAAATCAACATCCTCTATCAAGTTTTCCAAGAAATAGGAGTTAAAATAAACCTTTCCAAAAGACCATGATCTGTAATTGAATTTGTAAATACTAAACACTTCAAATAACTGAAATTTAGCGTAGGAGATATGCAAACTGACAATGAATTGATTGCACCAGAGGGAGTTTTCCCCAACACTATAGGTGACTACAATTCCAAAACATTAGCCAAAAAAATCGTGTCATGATCTTAAATAGCCTCGTCAGATCTAGGCATTCATATAAATGCCATGCACGGGGTTAAACTTATTCAGAAATATCTAATTTGTCAGCCGTATATACAATCGATTCCTCAGAGCGATGGATGAAAATGGCATCGAACGGCTGAAAGACTAATTATTAACTGTGACAGCTAAAGGTCGGGTGTGAGTTTGAGAGCCAATATTCTTTCAAGTTAGTGTGCCTTCTCTAGAGGCTATCCATTCATCGTAACTGTGTTGAGGATTAGAATGATGACGAAGTAGTCTATGTTGATGACATTAGTATTCATAGTTGAGAAAAATGATCTGGAAACAAATTCAACATCCTCTATCAAGTGTTCCAAGAAATAGGACCTAAGATAAACGTTTGAAACAAGGAGACTATGATCTGGAATTAAAATGAAAGCAGTTACAGGATATAATCTGAATCCATCCTGACAAGAAATAGTTTCGCCCAATACCGCAAGTTGCTACTAAACCAAAAACCTCAAAACTCGAGTCATGTCCTTACATAACCACCTCATATCGTGATTTTTATATGCGTCTCATGTATGGCGCCAAAACCGTTCAGAAATATCTAAATTGTCAGCTGTATGTAGCCGCTGCTCAGATCAATCTTTAAAAAAAACGGTTTGAAAGAGTGAAGAGTGAGTGGTGTACATTGCGAATTGGAGCTGATGATTCACAGACAATGAACGATACCAAATAATGGAAACCACATTACTTGAGGACTTTCAACAGCAGCAACTAATAAAAATAGATATCCTCTGCAAGACGAAGAGAAAATAATCACCTAATCTAAAGATTGATATTCCCCGCTACGCCAAACAAAATCTTCGGAAGGAAGATTTCGCCAGTACTTGAAAGAGCTATAAAAGCTACTGGACTTGAGAAACGTATTTTTATGGATTTAAGAGAATTTTTTTATGAATTTCAAGCGAAAGGATTATTGATAAATCTGTCAATGAATGGTGAATATTTCCTTATATTATCGTTACCATTAGTCTGACACGGTGATGTCATTTTAGATCATCTAGTAGATGAAAACGGGACAAAAAGATTAATAATCAATAGTAAGAAAATAGAATGTTTGATTGTTAGCAAAAGGGAGAGCCTAGAGTAAGAGTTACAAAATGGACATGTCAAAATCAAATAATGACAGAAATTTACGTAACTCAGAAATGTTATAAAGAAAAGACAAACAACACCGAGCAAAAGTCATAAGTGGCGACCCAGAGACATTAGATAAAGAATTGGTCAGTATAAGTAGTACCCCACAATATAACAACTACCCTGGGTAAATGGCAGCATCCCCCCCCAAAAAAAAACTGGGATAGGCGGGTACAAGAGGAGGACAACAACAGCCAGAAAACAGTCTGCCTGCCTTATGTGAAGGGGTTATCAGAGAAAATCCAAAGGAACTGAAGTCCATATAAAATCAGGACAACCATCAAAAGCTTAAGAACCCCCATAGATGACTAAAGACTGTGTGTACTCTATCCCGTGCAGCTGCGGAAAGAAATATAAAGGGGAGATAGGCCGCCTCCTTAAGGTAAGGCTTCAAGAACACCAAAAAGCTGTAACACGAGGGGAAGTGGAAAAATCAGGCGTGGCTGACCACATATAGAGAGAAAAGGGAGATCACCGCCAATATGGCGGCAAAGATGAGGACAATAGTCCGAATAATGTACATAATACCTCATCTCAGAAATATAGACAGTTACAGATAAGACAAATATCAGACCGAAATCCAAAAGTTGATTATACAGCGACAAATCCCTTCAAAATCCTAAGTAAATTATTAAAATAAGGGAACATTTGGTTAGAAACAAAGAAAAGAGTGCTGGTCTAGATAATATTAACATCTCTATATGGAAGTGAATGCTGGGCGATTTGCTTAGAGATGAAGGGGAAATTTGATGAAACAGAGATATCCTTGTACAAAACGATGCTGGGGGTAACATTAATTACAACTCGTCTTACCTATTGAAATATTCTGGTGAATCTAAATTCTTGAGTAAGATCATGGCGAATTCAACAACAATAAAGATCTGTAGAAATTATCTTATGGCATCCTTAAATATTGGAGCTTAAAGACTTTACCAAAATATTACACTGAGAATCATAAATATGAATGCTGGTCGTAATTTAATAAGTAAGGGGGTACAAATGAAAATATTTCAACTTGTCAACTCTTTCCATTTCACTGAAACAATTTTTGTCTGTCTATATTTCTGAGATGAGGTATTATGTACATTATGTACATTATTCGGACTATTGTCCTCATCTTTGTCGCCATATTTATCACAACGTTTCGGCCGTTGTACCCCGGTTTTTCTTCAGAATTTCGAACTGAAACCTTTATTTCGCTCACTGGAGTAGACTGTTCTAGTTCCACGTGCCATGTTTGATGGATGTTAGTTATCAGTTATCTCCTGCTAATTTCCCTCTGAAAGTTCTCCACTGCCTTAACCGGGTATTGAACTCACACTCTTTGGGTCATGACACTGGATCTAACCAACGCCTAAAGAAATCAAGGGTTCAGTTCGAAATTCTAACCATCTGAAGAAGGCCGGAGCGTACAACGGCCGAAACGTTGTGATAAATATGGCGACAAAGATGAGGACAATAGTCCGAATGATGTAAATAATGAAACAATATTTTTAACAAAAAAGTTTAAAGAGAAAGAAAAAACATTGCAATTTCTTTTTAATGTGATTTTTTTTTAAATGGGCCGTGTCCCTTCAGTATCTGTGAGGTCATGGCTCTACACAACGTCCCCTTTCATACACTCCTTCCCTGTTCTGCTATACAATTACCCTGGGTATATTAATTGCTGTTTCCATTGCTTTCCTGTAAGTGTTAAATTCTATAAGGCTTCTTTGGATTTTGATCGGTTCTGATAAAACAGTGATCTATGAACTTTGTTTCCTTCAGGTCAACATATTTTAACAAGAGATATTCCCTTCTTTGCGCGATTAATTGAGAAGAAAATACGGCTCAGTAGTTTTAAGAAACTCTTGAATATGATTGCCAGTAAAGAAGTGGTTTACAAATAAAAAAAAATGGTAGAATGATTCTCTAGCGCAACTTAAGATTCTGCAAATATAAAAATAAATTAAATTAAATTTCTGCAAATATAAAATATTAAATTTGATATTAAGAGCCTTTCCGTGTTCACAGAAAAAAAGTGTCAAAATGAATCTACAGCTGATGAGTTTTATTTCTTCAGTTAATGATTAAATAAGCTCATGACAATAAAACAACCGTAGAAATTCCCCTATCGCATCGTTAAATATTTCAGCTTAACAAGGTTAACAAAACTAGAAAGACCCGTGAAAATTTCACGGTTTTCCAATTTGAATTTTCTCGTGAATCTTAATTCTTCAGTTAATGATTAAATACGCTCATGGCGAGATCTACGGCAATAAAATATCCGTAGAAATTCCCCTATCCCTTCGTTAAATATTTGAGCTTAACAACCTTAACAAAACTAGAAACAAAATATTGCAATAACAATCGTAAATATGAATGCTGGTCTTTATTTTAAGAAGAAAAGAAATGAATAGATTTGAATTTGATAACTTTTTCCATTTCATTTAAACATTCATTAAAACTTTTTTCTTTTCTTTCTTTCATTTTCTCGCTACAAACAAACTAGCATCCCTGATACAGGTTTTGTTTTTGCACAATGAAAACGGTATACTCCATGGGGTACTGGCAAGAGACCTTAAACACTTCAATCTTCACTTCTTTCTTTCTTTCTTTTCCTCACTGAAACCAAGTAGCGTCTTTTCCCCTGTCTCCGCACAGTCAAATGGAAAAGTCCATTATGCACAAGATATTAGCAGGACGTAATGGTCGTGCAGAATAACAAAGGTTA